TGTGAAATAACTGCTTTTTACATTTGATCATTTTTCAATTCTTAATATACGTTTTTTTTTCTTTCAAATGCTGTCAAACGTAAAATAATGACGTTAAAAGTAGAATTTTACAGTCAAATGCTGTGAAAGAGCAAATTACTGTTTGAAGTCGACATTTATAGTTTTTATCTGTTTTATTCGGTTAATGTATAAACTAATAATTTATTTTTTCTGTAATATTACTGCTTGTTGTGTGTAATTTAAATACTTAATATTCTTTATTTATCCACATATAATCACCGAAACACTGCCTGAAGTTCAACCTGTTCTTCTGATTGCATCTGAGTCACTAAAGGTTTCAAAGTTCCTCCAAGAAATACAGACGGTTTAGTGTTTTTTACAGAATAAGGTCAGAAATTTTTTTAAAATTTTTATTACTTTTTAGAATAAACTGACATTATTTATTCTGACAGAACTCAGGGACACAATATACCTATAAAGTCAACAGGTAAATGAATCATGTTTTCTGTGATTTTAGTGGTTATTATCTGTGATCTACAGTTTAGAAATCTGTCACAGGACAGTTGGCTGAGTCACTAAAGGCTTCACAGTTGCACCAAAGACGGAAGAAGTTTTAGTTTTTACAGAAAATAGTCGAAGCCAACGAGGTGTTTTTGGCAGACGTGTAGAATCAAATGATTTTAATTCAATTTTCACGACTCCGTGACACCTCCTGAATATTTAAGGGACAGTCACACAGTTGAAAACCCAGTCAGTCTTCCTGTTTTTAGCCTCTCTGGCTGATAAATGGTGTCATTTCTGTGATTCTTATTAAAGACAGCGTCTGTTTGAAACCGCCGTCGCAGGTTTAAGGTTAAAATCTCATCGTAACGTAAACCATAATCCGGATAAGAATCCATTAGATTCAGTGGGTTCGGCTCGTCGGCGGTCTCCGCTGGATGAATGTAACAGTGACCTTTAGTAAATTACCTCAAATCCACGTTGGCATTGGTGCTCTGACATTTCCTCTGACTTCACAGCCTCCATACAGACGCACTGATAACAGCCAGTCTGAACATGTACAGGCCCAACACATCTATTAGACCACCTGTCGCTACATAAATACTCCAGAAAGTCTTTCAGAAACTTGTTTAAAACTAGAAATGTTGTTGCTATTTATTCATCAAATAAACTGAAACCACCAAATTTCGCACATAATAACCAAAAAAACAAATATTCTGGCCTCCTTTGACTTTGGTAACAACAATAAACATCATTTTTAGGTTCTTTTCGACAATTTCTGTTGTCATTAAGCTCCAAAGAGTTTCTAACTTGTTTGAGACAAAACTTTTGTGCAACCAAATTAGAATCTTTGATCCCAAATTTGTTCAATAGGATTAAAATCCAGACTTTGACTGGTCCAGTCCATCAGTTCCAGAACTCCAGATTCCTTTTTCTTGGTCAGATGTTCTCTACACAGCTTTGAAGTCTGCTGGGCTCATTGTCTTGTTGGTAAATGAACCCACAACCAATCAGGTTCAGTCCAGAAGGAATCCCATGACTCACTAAGGTGTTGTGGTAGACCAGGGATCTCCAGCTCTGGTCCTCGTGAGCTACTGTCCTGCAGGTTTCAGATGTTTCCGTACTGAGACACACCTGACTCAGATTAGTGGATCTCCGACAGCAAGTTCTACACAAGTCTGTTACTGACCCATTCATGTGAGTCAGGTGTGCTGCAGTACAGAAACGTCTAAAACCTGCAGGACAGTAGCTCACGAGGACCAGAGCTGGAGATCCCTGTGGTAGACGTTCTTGTCCATGACACCGTAGATTTCCACGCCGTTTCCACAAACGGAACCCTTTACCATGATTCCACTGTGTTTGGCATCAAAACGTTCTCCAGCTTTTCTGCCGACTGAAGAGTTCCAACTCGTCCCTCCAGAGTAGCTTCTTCAGTGTTTATGTGTTTCTAGATGTTTGCAGGCCTCAACGATGTCTTCTTAGCAGCTCTTCTTCCCTCTAAGCCTTGTTCCATCAGTCGTCTCCTACGGTCACTCTGGAGACTTCCTCATCTAGAAGACCACTGCCTGAAGATCAGCAGTGGTCTTCCTTCTGTCTCTGGTCCTTCAAGTCTTGAGGTGTCTGACAGATGCTTCAGTGAACTTTCGTTTCCTGCCTCTTCCTCTGAACATTTTGACATTTGACACCAGGATCACGGTTCTTTCTTTCTCTAGTGTGTTTTTAAACCCCAAATAGTTCATTAGTTTATCTGCTGTTCTGATGAAGCTCAGAAATGACGGAATAAGTCCATTACAAAGCGTAAAAATGGACTTCAAGGGCCGGGAACTCTGGAAACATTCACAGTATGAAGGTAAAACTCTGCGTCATTAATAAAGCTACTGTAGATGAAGGATCAGCCGACTCTGAGCAGGTCGGGGGGAAGAGCTGGAGGATTGTTCATGAGTTTGGGAGGAAATAAAACCACTTACGACACTCAGGCAGCATACACTTCTCCGTCTGCTCCAGCTCCTCGGTGCATTCAGCAGGATCCGACTTCAGCATCCTCTGACGTGTTCGGACGCCTCGTCCACACGTGACGCTGCATTCGCTCCAGTCCGACCAGGGCGACAGCATGCAGGGGATCGTATCTGGGAAGACAAATCCACAATAAGTCCAGCAATGGATAACTTCTGGTATTTATGAGGGATGTCAGGATCAAGTTTTCCTGCCCCAACGTGGTCCAAGGCAGTTAATATTTACTATTTGCTGAAATTTAGTCCGAATCCGAAACTGTTTTTCTAAAT